ACCTGCCTCTCCTCCTCCCTCCCCCCCTTCCTTTTCTTTACCTGTCTCTCCTCCTCTCTCCCCTCCTTCCTTCTTTACCTGTCTCTCCTCCTCTCTCCCCTCCTTCCTTCTTTACCTGTCTCTCCTTCTCCCTCCCCTCCTTCCTTCTTTACCTGTCTCTCCTGCTTCTTTTACTTCTTACCTTCTCAGTCTCTCCTGTACCTTCCCCTCCCTCTCTATCCCACACCTTTCCCTTCCTCTTGTATGCCTTTATTTTTCTCTTCCATCTTCCGTCTCCCTTTCCATCTTTCAACAATTCCCCTTCCTTTTCCACAACCCTACCTCTTCATTTTCCTTCCCAACCCCCCTCCCTTCAACCCTCCTTCCCGCTCTCCTCTTCTGCCCTCCTTCTTTTCTCCCTCCATTCTTTTCTCTTCCTCCTTCCCCCTCTCTTCCTCCTTCCCCCTCTCTTCCTCCTTCCCCCTCTCTTCCTCCTTCCCTCTCCTCGCTTCCTCCAGCTTACAAAAATAAACACCTCCATCTACCTCCTCGTCATCATTGTGTTAGCAACGATGAGCCTCTAGTCTTATCCTCCTCTCGTCTTGGGATAATTACTTTATCTTGGCTAATGCACAGACTCATTATCTCTTTAATTATCAGCTCATTACGGTTAATTACTCTCTCGTCCGGGGAGGAACGTCTTGGATGCTGACCAGGCCTGTCTAGCTTCATCTTAATAAACATGTCCCCCCGTCTCAACACCCGTCTTGAGAACCTATACACACGCTGCCATTGTTATGTTGTCTAAGGTCCTGGTGACACACTCCTTCATTAACAACAACCACAACTACAACCGCAATAATAATAATAATAATAATAATAATAATAATAATAATAATAATAATAATAATAATAATAATAATAATAATAATAATAATAAATAAATTGCACTTATCACCTCCAAAGAATAATGATCACCGTAACTCCGTCTCTTCACTAGGTCAACATGAGGAAGGGTGAGGAGTGGTTAGGGGGGGTGAAGGGTGAGGAGGAGAAGTGAGGGGTGAGGAGGGGTGGGGGTAGCTGAGGAGGGATGAGGAGAAAGTGAGGGATAGGTGAGGTGTCTGAGCCAGGACAGGTAATCGAGGTGACGTCCCTCTACCTGTCTGTCACCTGTCCACTCCCCTAGACTCCCTGACCACACCTACACCACCTATCCCTACCACCACCACCACTTATCAACACCACCACCATCATCACCACTCATAATTATCACCGGAGCTATCATCATTACCACCACCATCTACCATAACCATACACCACCAATTACCCAGCGCCGCTAACAGAAGTGGTGGTCAGGGGGAGTGGTGGTGGCCTAGGGGACTGGTGGTGGCCAAGGGGAGGCGTGGTGGTGGCCAAGAGGACTGGTGGTGGCCAAGGGGAGGCGTGGTGGTGGCCAAGAGGACTGGTGGTACCAGGGGTGGTGGTGCCAAGAGGACTGGTGGTGGCCACAGGGGAGGCGTGGTGGTGGCTAAGAGGACTGGTGTGCCAAGGAGGCGTGGTGGTGGCCAGGAGGACTGGTAGGCTAAGGGGAGGCGTGGTGGTGCCAAGAGACTGGTGGTGGCTAAGGGGAGGCAAGGTGGTGGTGGCCAAGAGGACTGGTGGTGGCCAAGGAGTGGTAGTGGCCAGGGGGAGGCGTGGTGGTGGCCAAGAGGACTGGTGGTGGCCAAGGGGAGGCGTGGTGGTGGCCAAGAGGACTGGTGGTGGCCAAGGAGGCGTGGTGGTGGCCAGGAGGACTGGTGGTGGCCAAGGGAGGCGTGGTAGTGGGCCAGGGGAGGCGTGGTGGTGGGCTAGTGGACTGGTGGTGGCCTCGGGGAGTGGTGGTGGCCAAGAGGACTGGTGGTGGCCAAGGGGAGGCGTGGTAGTGGCCAAGGGGAGGCGTGGTGGTGGCCAACAGTAGTAATAAAAAATCCAGGGTTGTGTACAAAAATAACCTGGCAAGTTTTCCAACCACTCGTAAATCTGAAGTTCAACATGGCCGACCCGCTGAAATATTGCTTGCGCTTCCAACCACCAACAACCCAGGCGAAGCTACGTCCGTGGTGTCGTTGCCGCTCCCACCAAACTCCAATTACTCCGTTCTTTAGTGAGCTTCAATAGTAAACATCAATGGCAATTTTCAACCAGCTATCTTGACATCAATGGCAAATTTAATCCTTCTTCCTAAACATCAATGGCAATTATGTTTCTTTTCACACCTAAAAATCTACATCGGAATCACATCTATTGGATAAGGTATACACGTGCATTCCTTCTAGTTACACGTGCATCCCTTCTAGTTACACGTGCATCCCTTCTAGTTACACGTGCATCCCTTCTAGTTACACGTGCATCATTTCTAGTTACACGTGCATCCCTTCTAGTTACACGTGCATCCCTCCTAGTTACACGTACATCCTCTCTAGTTACACGTGTCTCTTGTAGTTACACGTACATCCCTTCTAGTTACACGTGCATCCCTTCTAGTTACAAGTGCATCCCTTCTAAGTCATTCACGTGCACACCCAAGGAACAGATGACAAGTATACACGTAGAGAGCCAAAACACAAAATGTACATCCGTCTCTGATTGGGACCGGAGAGAGAGAGAGAGAGAGAGAGAGACATATGTCAAACATGCGACTCTGTTCCCTGTGACCTTGGCGAGGCGGCACGCACAGCACATTCAGCCGTGAAGGTCCACCACGTTCACAAGTTGTTGCTGAGCTGTCGGCCAATGGGGAGGAAAGAGAGAGAGAGAGAGAGAGAGAGAGAGAGAGAGAGAGAGAGAGAGAGAGAGAGAGAGAGAGAGAGAGAGAGAGAGAGAGAGAGAGAGAGAGAGAGAGTAATAGGTATTAAAGTTGGTAGAGACACAGGTAGCCAGCACCTATTGGGCCAGGTAACATGCTCATCAGGTGAAATAGTAATTAGTGGTTACAAGGGGAAGAACCACCTCAAGAAGAAGTTGTTGAAGAATGTGAGATGAGAAGAAATGACGAAGTGGCAGCATAAAATAAAATATATAAAATTACTTGAAATAATAATAATGATGATGATGATGATGATGATGATGATGATGATGATGATGATTATGATGATCTTTCTCAGGGTGAATCATGGGAGACATTGGTGTTCATATCAAAATTCGCTTATACCAAGACAGGATATATTTTTCTCCAGTAAAGAACAGCGCTACGGAGACCTTTTAACGGAGACAGCGGAGATCTAGTTAAGGGTAAGTAAAGGCGATGTGGAGATCACTTTAAAAGGAGACTCTACTCGTGGCTGTGTGGGGAGGAGTAAAGGACGTCATTGGTATTGTTATAGTTAAATAATGCAAAGAGAATGAACTCACTACACGACACACACACACACACACACACACACACACACACACACACACGACACACACACACACACACACACACACACACACACACATAAACTCGAGTACAGTAGTCAGTCATTACAAACTTCACCGCGTATGGGTGGACGGATGGGCGTGCGTGCGGAAGGACAGACGGGTGGGCGTGTGAGGTGTCCTGTTTAATAGTAGACAGGAGCCGGAACAGACGGGAGATCAAAGTGATAAGAATCTGACGAAGACCAAGATTATGTAAATTAGATTAAGATCATATGAGGAGGCTGACTTTCTACGCCCCGTCATTCCTGGTGTAGGGTGTAGGGTGTAGGTGTAGGTCGTAGGTCTTGGTGTAGGGTGTAGGTGTAGGGTGTAGGGTATAGGGTGTAGGTGTAGGTCGTAGGTCTTGGTGCTGAGGCCTCCCTGGACGACCTCTCACGACCTAAACTCTCTTACTATTTTCACATTCTGCTTAATCAACCTTTTCAAGCCCGAGCGTTCGTATGTATGTATGTATGTATGTATGTATGTATGTATGTATGTATGTATGTATGTATGTATGTATGTATGTATGTATGTATGTATGTATGTATGTCAGATCAAGTGGAGTATCTACTGCACTAACACGGAGGAGACGAAAGAGACATACTTGGAGTAGTACACTTATATACAGCACCTGGAGTACATTACACATTTAACTGGAGTACTTTACACATTTACCTGGAGCACTTTACACACATTTACCTGGAGTACTGTACTTTACATATATACCTGGAGTACTTTACACATAATTACCTGGTGTACTTTACATATATATACCTGGAGTAATTTACACATTTACCTGGAGTACTTTACATATATACCTGGAGTACTTTACACAGGTACACCATTAAAATTACTCCAGTAACTCCTCAAATACCTGTGGATTACTAATATGGAATCACTCTTTTAAAACGTACGACGGAAGTGACTCACGGAGGGGGACTAACGTAGGTGACTCACATAGATGACTCACATAGATGACTCACAAAGATGACTCACAAAGGAGATTCCTAGATGACTCACCTAGGGGATCCTGATACTCACACAGGGAATGACTAGAATATGACTCACACAGGGGACTCAAATATAAGGTGACTCAAAAGCACCTACAACACCAACACGAGTCGAATAACTTATAATGACTCACTATAACAACAATACTTAAAACGAGCCCACGTACTTAAGAGAATTACTTAAAACAAACCCATGTACTTTAAAAATGTCACTGAGAGGCTTCTAATACTTAAAGGCACCTAAGTATGTAAAGGGGTTACTTAAAGGCACTTAAGTATTTAAAGGGGTTACTTAAAGGCATCTAAGTATTTAAAGGGGTTACTTAAAGGCACCTAAGTATTTAAAGGGGTTACTTAAAGGCACCTAAGTATTTAAAGGGGTTACTTATAGGCACCTAAGTACTTAAAGGAGTTACTTAAAGGCATCTAAGTATTTAAAGGGGTTACTTAAAGGCACCTAAGTATTTAAAGGGGTTACTTAAAGGCACCTAAGTATTTAAAGGGGTTACTTAAAGGCACCTAAGTATTTAAAGGGGTTACTTAAAGGCACTTAAAGGGGTTACTTACATAGCGCCCACGTAAAGTGTATCTCTTGTCTCGTCCATATGGAAGGTCCGGTAGTAGAGGCGGCCGCATGAGAACTCCCGAACATGGTCTGTGGGGAGAGAACACAGCACGTTAGAGAACAACAATAACACACTGGAGAACATAATGAGACCATATAGAGAACACAGCACGTTAGAGAACAACAATAACACACTGGAGAACATAATGAGACCATATAGAGAACACAGCACGTTAGAGAACAACAATAACACACTGGAGAACATAATGAGACCATATAGAGAACACAGCACGTTAGAGAACAACAATAACACACTGGAGAACATAATGCAACCATATAGAGAACACAGCACGTTAGAGAACAACAATAACAAAATTAAGAGCAAATATAAAAGGATATAATTATTAGAGACAATATATTAGAACATTATATAAAAAAACAATTGCTACTATAAAACTATTTGTGTGTGTGTGTGTGTGTGTGTGTGTGTAGACGTATTAGAGTCTAGCGCGTGACAGGTTTAATCGTACACGGCTGAGTGCTTCGTCAGCTTCAGAATTCAACGTAAGTATTATGCTTATTTTTTCGTGTGTTTGGGAGGGAGGGAGGGAGGGGGTGGGGAAGGGAGGAGAGATGGGGAGGTGTGGTGGGGAAGGGAGGAGGTGGGGAAGGGAGGAGGTAGGGAGGTGGTGGAGGGATGAGGTAGGGGAGGTGGGGAAAGGAGGAGGTGGAGGAAAAGGGAGGAGGGGGGGGAAGGGAGGAGGTGGGGAAGGGGAGGAGGTAGGGAAAGGGAGGAGGTAGGGAAAGGAGGAGGTGGGGGTTAAGGTGGGCGGGGGGCGGCTCCAGTATCTACATAAGTTTAGTGGTATTCCCCTTCTAGCCAACCCTTAAATAAAACCTAACCTAACCTATCACTTGACCAACATAATACTCGACCTGTAAGACGAGCTTGACCTCGATGCTACCTATCACTTGACCTCTCACATCCTAGGTCACCGCACACCAATAAGATCTCCCTTAATGACCCCGTCCACTGGAAAAATACGCCAAAGAAAGTCACACCAATATTGTCCTATGCTAATTAGAATAACCAGCGTCCTCCATTAGCAGTTGGTTGCAATGTAATGTCAATTAAAGTCTGGAAACCCGTCCCAATATATTTTGGCGGTGGGCGATGCTATTTCAATTTGCTTCCGCCAGAAAATATACTGTAGTGGAGAGAGAGAGAGAGAGAGAGAGAGAGAGAGAGAGAGAGAGAGAGAGAGAGAGAGAGAGAGAGAGAGAGAGAGAGAGAGAAAGAGAGAGAGAGAGAGAGAGAGAGAGAGAGAGAGAGAGAGAGAGAGAGGGACTCCTATACCTCCCAACTCGGGTAATAAAAAAAAAAATTATAATCCCGAAATATTTTACACTCTAGGCCACAGGATATTTGTCAATGTTATTTCTCTCGACGCCAACTTTTGCCTGTGGTGTGTGTGTGTGTGTGTGTGGAAACTCCCTGCCAAACATCGTTCACAAATCCCTTGAAAAGCTACAAAGTTACAGTCACAAAAACCCAATCAAAAACAGATCTGGTTTTCCCTGAACAAGTAGTGTGGGATTTCAGTTTCCTCCCCTACAGGCTTTGTGGAAGAGCCTGTGTTTATCTCTTTATACGTGTGTTTTTTCTCTTCTCTCTCCAGCATTTAGACTATACAGTATATACGTGTGTGTGTGTGTGTGTGTGTGTGTGTGTGTGTGTGTTTTCTCCCTTCCTAGCCACTTATCCACCCTCCTCTCATATCTCTCCCTATCCACCCTTAACCTCCCTACCTACGCCTTAGATGGTGCGACGCTAAAATTTTACGTAATCAATACTGACGTAGGTAATCAAATTACTGAAAGGCCTGGGCGAAGGAGCTGGTGGGCCTGAGAGAGAGAGAGAGAGAGAGAGAGAGACTCAATTACACCACCACCTCCCCACTCTAAGTATCCCCTTCCTCCTCCTCCCCCTCCTTCTCATCACCTCTTCTTTTCCTCCCCCCTCTTCCTACCACTGTCACTCACCATTTCCCTACCTGTAATATCATCATCTCCTCCCTACCTCTTCTTCCGCCTGCCCTTCCCAATACACCTCCACCTCCCTTCCCCTTCCATGTTCCCCTCCTCTCCCTTCTCCTCATCCCCCGCCATCACACACTCCATTACACAGACTTCGGGCTGTTATGTGGGATATGGAAATATTGGTGTTTTTCTCCCCCCAACCCCTGCCATACTTCCCCTGACCCTCACTTCCCCCTGACCCTCCTACTTCCCCTGACCCTCTACTTCCCCTCACCCTCTAACTTCCCCTGGCCCTCTACTTCCCCCTCACCTCTACTTCCCCCCCTCACCCTCTACTTCCCCTCACCCTCTACTTCCCCTGACCCTCTACGTCCCCCTATTTTTCTACCTGATGATTCTCTTGTGTTACTCCTCTCTCTCTTCATCTTCCGTTTTCTCTCTTTATCTGATTCTCTTCTTACCTCTCCTCCTATCATTACTTCTTCCTACTTCCTCTTGTCACCAGTTCGATTCTCGCGGTGGGTTACTTAGTGTTTTTCATCCGCCTTCATCCAGCCTCCAGGTAACCTTTCCTCCTTCTCCTACTCCTCACCTCTCCTTTCCGCCCACCACTACCACCTCCACCTCCACCTCCTCCTCCCCCTCCCACCCACCACCGACATGAAGCTCCACAGGTAACACCACACACCTGAAAGACAATCAATAACAATGTCCCACTGGCCCTGTCCAAGTGACCTCATTTCGCAGCCTCCCCATGGCACCCTGCAGGTGGGAGGCCAAGACGAACTCAACAACAGCAACAGTAATTGGTATTAGTAGTAGTTAGCAATAATTAGGAGAGTTGCCATCAAGGTTATTATCTCCATCATCATCATCATCATCATCTGCCCCATCACTAAAGCAACACCACCAACACCACTGCCACCATCACCTGCACCACAACCAGCCCCACCATCTACATCACCACTAACACCATCATGCACATGTAGCCCCCACCACCTGCACCATTACCACCACCACTATCACCATCATGCACATGTAGCCCCCACCACCTGCACCATTACCACCACCACTATCACCATCATGAACATGTAGCCTCCACCACCTGCACCATTACCACTACTAACATCATGCATGTAACCCCACCACCTGCACCATTACCACCACCACTAACACCATCATGCACATGTAACCCCACCACCTGCACCATTACCACCACCACTAACACCATCATGCATGCCAGCCCCACCACCTGCACCATTACCACCACTACTATCACCAACATGCACATGCCAGCCCCCACCACCTGCACCATTACCACCACCACTAACACCATCATGCACATGTAGCCCCACCACCTGCACCATTACCACCACTAACACCATCATGCACATGTAGCCCCCACCACCTGCACCATTACCACCACCACTATCACCATCATGCACATGTAGCTCCCACCACCTGCACCATTACCACCACCACTAACACCATCACGACACTTTACTTTTGAAAAGCGACAATCAATGTGTAATATTTACTGAGGGTTCAAAACTTAAAGTTGAGGGAGCGTGTGTTGGGTGGTACCAGCCACAGTACACCGGTGTGTGGTCCTTCCTCCAGCTGGCCCTCCCTCCTTCCCTCCACCTGGCCCTCCCTCTCTCCCTCCCTCCACCTGGCCCTCCCTCTCTCCCTCCACCTGGGTCTCTCCTCCTTGGCCCCCTCTCTCTCCCTCCACTCCAGTGGCCCTCCCTCCTTCCCTCCACCTGGCCCTCCTCTCTCCCTCCCTCCACCTGGCCCTACCCTCCTTCCCTCCAACAGGCCCTCCCTCCACCTGGCCCTACCTCCTTCCCTCCAACAGGCCCTCCCTCCACCTGGCCCTGCTTCCAGCTGGTCCAGACGGCCAGCTACTGTGTTCCCCAGGGGTTGTGGTCTGGTTCTTAGGGGTGTTGTCCACAGGTATTGGCGGCTGCTCTTAAGGTGTAACAGACTACAGGTATTAACAGGTAACAGTTATAGAGTACAGGTGTTAACAGTGGTGTAACAGACTACAGGTATTAACAGGTAACAGTTATAGAGTACAGGTGTTAACAGTGGTGTAACAGTTACAGACTACAGATGTTAACAGGTATAACAACAGGAGAATACAAGTCCTAGCTGGTGGTGCAAATGTCTGCAGAGAACAGGTGTGCAGACAGGTGTAAAGTTTAGCAGGGGTGGGGGGGGGACATGTGTTGGCGGGAGTAGCAGCAATTAATTAGCAGGCTTATGTCAGGCAGGTGACCGTATCCACACCTCTAATTACCTTTAGTCTCAGGCAGTAATTAACGAGCCACACACACTAATTGTCCCTAGATTACTACCACCGCCAACCACCTGTCATCACCACTCTCGCCATCTACACCTCATTAAGGGAAGTGGCGAGTGTGGTGTAGTGCCGTGTGTGTGTGTGTGTGTGTGTGTGTGTGTGTGTGTGTGTGTGTGTGTGTATCATAACAGCACTTCAAGGAGAGACTTAACCTTGGATTAAGTTGAAATTCTTGGTGAAAAAAATACTTCGTGGAGATGAGGAAGGTGTAGAGGCGGGGTGTTAAAATAGTGATGAGAGGGAGAGGGGAGGGAAGGGGAGGGAGGGGTATTACGAGGGAAAGGAGGAAGGGATGGCGTGTTAAAGGGTTATGTGAGTGAGAAAGAATGGGAGTGTTAAAAAAGAGAGAAAAAGAGAGAGAGAGAGAGAGAGAGAGAATACATTATCTCTCACACCAAGAAGAAAAATAAGAAAAACACGTGTGGTTGAGATCATGAGGCCACAAGAAGCCCCCACCTGAGTCAGCGTCCGTCCGCCCCATGAATCACTTACTCGCCATCCCGTCCGTCACCTGAGCAAAACACCTGACGGCGTCCTTTTGAAGCGTTGGCGACCCCTTGACAGGTGCTACTTGGGACGCCGGCAGGTGAGTGAAAGAGTGGGACGGGAGTGAGGAAACATGACGGAGAGACCTGTCCCATTCCCCCCTCAAGTCTCCAACTAGCAATTTAGCAAATACCGCGTGGATGCGGGTCTGACGTGTGGCGATTGGTTCACGTCTACCAATTCGTCGGCTCCAGTGTCCCACCCAGTAACAAGATAAAACTTGATTTAGGCTTTTCGTTTAGGTCACAGAAGAGGACAGGATAAACCCGGGTATGTGTTCAGGGTACATGGTAGATTGTGACAAAAACAACATCATTATCCGGATCACCTAAAGTTTAAGCAAC